CCGGACAAACTTCTGAATTCTGAGAACGTGCAAATTTCTATAATTTAATAGTCTAATTGGTTCACATCCGGTATACTTAAAATTTCCTTCACGTCACTATAATATTAAACTTCGTAAATTGTCGTCTACACTTCCGTGGGAATAAACCTCGTTGCTTCTGGAAACTTTCCCTATTAAGACTACTGAATAGCTCGGTCGATAGAGCTTCGGACTCACACGCCTCGGGTCCATGGTTCGAGACTCCTAGAACCCAAGTGAATGGAATTTAGCTTCATGTTTTACCAACGTAAATCTCACTAACTGGAAGCTACAGTTTTAGCAATCCCTGTACACCTGTTCACTCCAACGACATATGGTATATCTTTAAATCACAGCCAAATTAATGTTCTAAATCTAGGGCGCTCGCTAAAAACTCTGCGGTGACGAGCAGCCACGTTTCATTTACTTCCCATGTAAACAAAATGCAAATTTACAAAGTACGTTAATTTACTTATAAAAAAATCATAAATGCATATTTAATAAATAAACAAGTAAATGTAATCAACTATAAAATTCACACTATTTTATTGTATTTACAATAAATTATTAAGTAAATACTTATCCAACGAAGGAAGTCATTTGCCTGCAATGAACTTCACTGAAAAATAGTTGACTGAAGATGAGGACGGAAGAGATGTTGAACAAAGATGACGAACCACGAACTAAGATATTGAAAGAAAGACATTGAACTTAGATACTGAAGGAAGGATGATATTGAAGTCCTGCCATCAGTATCTATCATCATGGAGATACTGGTGGATGGGGAATTGAAGGACGACAGGTGAACGGATATATTAAAGAAAGATAGACGAATATATCAAACCAAGAACGTATATATATTAGGATCAAATAAGGATTATTTCATGCCCCGAAATTTTTAAGGGGCAGGAAAAATTTAAATTATTTTTTAGCCTTAATTCTTGGCATGAAGAAGTAAGAGCCACTCAGTCTCACACCAGACACCAGGCGACGTCTCTCACACCTCGAAGAACAGTTTTATATTTTTGTTAAGTTAATGAACTTAATAAAAGGGAGGTAGTTTATAGGGGAAAGCGCCAAGCCATCATGACTATATTGCACTTGGATGGGGTTGGGATAAGGATTTGGGATGGGACGGGAGGAAAGGAATGGTGCCCAAGCACTTGGACGGTCGGGGATTGAACGCCGACCTGCATGAAGCGAGACCGTCGCTCTACCGTCCAGTCAAAGTGGCTAGTGAAAGTATTCCCGGCAGAGGCAGAAACAAATGGACAGAGTTTCCTTCACCCTGATGCTCCTGTTCACCTAGTAGTAAATAGGTGCCTGGGAGTTAGACAGCTGCTATGGACTGCTTCCTGGGGATGTGTGTGTGTGTGTATTCACCTAGTTGTGCTTGAGGGGGTTGAACTCTGCTCTTTCGGCCCGCCTTTCAACTGTCAATCAATTGTTACTATTATTTTTTTCCACACCTCACACACACACCCCAGGAAGCAACCCGTGACAGCTGACTAACTCCCAGGTACCTATTTACTGCTTGGTAACAGGGGCATTAGGGTGAAAGAAACTCTGCCTACTGTTTCTCGCCGGCGCTCGGGATCGAACCCGGGAACACAGGACCACGCGTCCAGCGTGCTGTCCGCTCAGCCACCGTGTGTGTGTGTGTGCATTAGATAGAAATATAGTAGTAGACATAATTGAGAAAAAATTAATTGGTTACAAAGGCGGGTCCAAGAGCTAATAGCTCGATGTTGCAGATACAAATAGTAAATAACACACACACCACACACACACCACACACACACACACACACACACACACACACACACACACACACACACAGAGGCGGGGTCCAAGATCCATACAATGATGAGGTTGGTCGTGTGTAGTGTAGATGGATACAATGATGAAAAATCGTGAGTAATGAAGATGCCGTGTTCCACCCAAACAACACCAGGAACCCTCCTTTAGTTTATATATATATATATATATATATATATATATATATATATATATATATATATATATATATATATATATATATATATATATATATATATATATATATATTTGTGCGTCAGTTTAACGCACAAATGATACTCATGCGGCCCCAGGCATGACTAAGTGATTTGATCCTTGCCCAAAATGGTCAACGAGTGTTGTCGGGTCTTGGGGTAAAGGGTCAGACGACCTCCAGTACTTTTGTACAGTCAGTGTGGCCGAGTGGTTATAGTACTAGACATGCCAAGTGGGCATGAAGGCCTTGGCTGACCGGTTTCGAATCCTTCACGGGGGTTAGCCCCCCCCCCCATGAATAAGGGGGGCCCCACGCCCCATCCCCCTGTGTAATGATGCTCTACATGTTCTTAGTTAATATCCTGAATTTGACGCAAGAATGCAGGGTTCGATATCAATAATCACATTCAATAAAGATAAGTAGTAAAGCGACCACATGGGACGAGTGGGCCAGTGGTGTGAGACGCAGGTCTGGACGCAAGGTTCCGGACAAGGTAGTGACGCTTGCGTCACCAAAGGCCAATCCCTGCTGCTGTTATATAATGCATGACGCAACTTTAAAGTCCACCGGACCACCACAGGGTGATTTGATTTTAAATTCCTCATGCTATCGCTAGTGTCTCTCTCCTTGGACTTCAATGGCGCCTCGTGACCTGATAGAGGGTTTCCTCTCGGGGTTTGTACACTATTTATTGGGTTCACACTTTTGTTGGTACACACTTTTGTTGGTACACACTTTTGTTGGTACACACTTTTGTTGGTACACACTTTTGTTGGTATACACTTTTGTTGGTACACACTTTTGTTGGTACACACTTTTGTTGGTACACACTTTTGTTGGTATACACTTTTGTTGGTACACACTTTTGTTGGTACACACTTTTGTTGGTATACACTTTTGTTGGTACACACTTTTGTTGGTACACACTTTTATTGGTACACACTTTTCGTGGGTTCACACTTTTGTTGGTATACACTTTTGTTGGTACACACTTTTGTTGGTACACACTTTTGTTGGTACACACTTTTGTTGGTACACACTTTTCGTGAGTTCACACTTTTGTTGGTATACACTTTTGTTGGTACACACTTTTGTTGGTACACACTTTTGTTGGTACACACTTTTGTTGGTACACACTTTTCGTGGGTTCACACTTTTGTTGGTATACACTTTTGTTGGTACACACTTTTGTTGGTACACACTTTTGGTGGTTCACACTTTTGTTGGTACACACTTTTGTTGGTACACACTTTTGTTGGTACACACTTTTGTTGGTACACACTTTTGTTGGTACACACTTTTGTTGGTACACACTTTTGTTGGTTCACACTTTTGTTGGTACACACTTTTGTTGGTATACACTTTTGTTGGTACACACTTTTGTTGGTACACACTTTTGTTGGTTCACACTTTTGTTGGTACACACTTTTGTTGGTTCACACTTTTGTTGGTACACACTTTTGTTGGGTACACACTTTTGTTGGTACACACTTTTGTTGGTACACACTTTTCGTGGGTTCACACTTTTGTTGGTATACACTTTTGTTGGTATACACTTTTGTTGGTACACACTTATGGTGGTTCACACTTTTGTTGATATACACATTTGTTGATACACACTTTTGTTGGTACACACTTTTGTTGGTACACACTTTTGTTGATACAAACTTTTTATATTATTTAATATACCCACCACAGTCTTGACTATTAATCACCTCTAGTTGTACTTAAATACCTCAACCAGGTCCAGTGTAATATTATTATTAATAGCAGTAGTGATGCTCTATTAACAATAGAATTAATATAAATAATTATGTTACTGTAATTTATAATTACGAATATTATATAATATCTTCAGATTTGAGCAACTTACCGAGATGTACACACCAGCTGATTAGACTCCACAGGAGACCTGACACCCTTGTCAGCCAATCTTCCAATCAAAGATTCGTTGTTGCTCTCATGGAAGTATGAATTTTAAGAATGGGGTAATTGTTTACATTGTAAGGGAGGAGGGAGGGGAATGGGTGACTGTAAGGGGTCAATGGTGGTTAAGGTATGGAGGGGAACGATGTTATTGGGGCTGGCTGTGACCTACAATTATATGGAACGACACTGACATAGGGTGAAGGGACGATGATTTACGGACACTAGGGTGAAGGGACGATGATTTACGGACACTAGGGTGAAGGGGCGATGATTTACGGACACTAGGGTGAAGGGACGATGATTTACGGACACTAGGGTAAAGGGACGATGATTTACGGACACTAGGGTGAAGGGACGATGATTTACGGACACTAGGGTGAAGGGGCGATGATTTACGGACACTAGGGTGAGAGGGACGATGATTTACGGACACTAGGGTGAAGGGACGATGATTTACGGACACTAGGGTGAGAGGGACGATGATTTACGGACACTAGGATGAAGGGACGATGATTTACGGACACTAGGATGAAGGGACGATGATTTACGGACACTAGGGTGAAGGGACGATGATTTACGGACACTAGGGTGAAGGGACGATGATTTACGGACACTAGGGTGAAGGGACGATGATTTACGGACACTAGGGTGAGAGGGACGATGATTTACGGACACTAGAGTGAGAAGGACGATGATTTACGGACACTAGGATGAAGGGACGATGATTTACGGACACTAGGATGAAGGGACGATGATTTACGGACACTAGGGTGAAGGGACGATGATTTACGGACACTAGGGTGAAGGGACGATGATTTACGGACACTAGGGTGAAGGGACGATGATTTACGGACACTAGGATGAAGGGACGATGATTTACGGACACTAGGGTGAAGGGACGATGATTTACGGACACTAGGGTGAAGGGACGATGATTTACGGACACTAGGGTGAGAGGGACGATGATTTACGGACACTAGAGTGAGACGGACGATGATTTACGGACACTAGGGTGAAGGGACGATGATTCACGGACACTGACCTAGAACAAGGACGACGATGGAGAGCGGCATGACCAGAGAGGCCACCATGAGGTCCGTGACAGCCAGAGAGAGCAGGAAGTAGTTGGTCATGTTCTGGAGACGACGGTCCCACGAGATGGCCAGAATGAGCAGAATGTTCCCGAAGAGTGTGAGGAGGACCACTAACAGGGCCACTAGACCCCACCAGTTGACCCCAGGTGACCCCACACCCCCCACTACCCCCTCCTCCTGCCATGACCCCGGCTGTGTGCCGTTCTCGCTCCAGAAGGTCAGGTTAACGGGGTTGAGGGAGTGGGCGTGGTCTCGGAGATGGATGATTGGGTAGTCAGAGGTGGGGTCGTGACCCCCTGGGCCGGGCATGGGGGTCAGTTATCACACACTGATAACTTCACTACTGGTGTTTCCAATCATTTGACCTCCCACACCACGCTGACCCTAGAGGTCACGTAGGCGACATAATCACACAAACTACCTCGTTCACTCGTTAAATAATGTAGTTCGGTGGGCATTAATAGCCCCTCTCACACGTCTTATCTATAAACACTATAATAATTAAACTTTAAATAACGGCATAGTTACACTGAACGCTGTTAACACCAGAATTGTGTAGTTTACAAACACCGCTTAGATACTTCAGTAATTAAACCCACAGACAATACCAATATTTACATATATATATATAAATATATATATATATATATATATATGTACAAACACAGAATAATTTTCAAGGTCCGTTTCATTCACAGCAGCAAAGGAAAGTTTTTAACAACACACAGGAATGACATTTTCGGAAGGACGCGTGAATTCATTGTATAATATTAGAGTGTATAACGCTCAACGCTGCAGCTATACAGTAATGTATGATACACTTTGTGTCAGAAATGAGGTTTGTGTGTTAGTATGAGCGTGACAGTGGCATCATGACACATGGTAACTCATCAGTGGTCAAGGGTAACTGGGTTTACATCCTTCGTCACTGTATCATGGTTTTCATTCATTGTAAACCACGG